TGCATCCACGCTCACATGCACACACTCATGCTCGCACGCACACACGCGCACACTTGTGCTCACACGTGTGCACACCCGATGCTGTCCCCAGTCCCGAGCGGTTCCTCACCTGAGAGGCCAGCAAGCCGCCCTCCCTGCCGTGTCCCCCTCACTGGGCTCGAGGCTCCTTCCCTGACTCTATTTGCAGTAAAAACCTGACGCTGAGGAGGAGAGAACTGCTCCCTTTAGAAATAATTAAAGCCACCTGGCTGCGGAGCGCGCCTGTCATTACCAGGCTCTGCACAGCTCTGCTGTTGACGCCTGCTGGGGCCGAGGGCTCAGCCACCCCGTCATCTCCCCAGGGAAGACTGTACGGAGGCCCTGCTCAACCCTCGAGGCCGTCTGGCTCTCAGGGGACCCTGACGGCACCATGCAGGGGACAGTGCGGACCCTCACCGTCAGCCCCGCTCTCAGCGCTGGGTGCGGGGTGCATCCTTGGAGGACAGAGCCAGGGACGCTCCTCACAAAACCCAAACGTTCGCCATGGACAGAGGGGGCAGGGATGCCCGCAAAGGACCCCAGACCAGGGAGCCCTGGAGGAGCCTGGGGCTGGGGATAAGGAGGGGCAGGTGACCCCCAGGCCACCCCCAACGCCTCTCGTTATCCAGGGGGAGGGGCAGAGACTGCCCTGGTGTCCGAGGGGCTGGGGAAGCCCTGGGCTCAATTTCTCCACATGTTCACTGAAGAGGGTGGGCCCATCACCGCCCCCCCGCCCCAGGGCCCTGGAAGGACTAATGCTCGATGCCTGGCTTCACCTGCATGGTGCCTGGCGCGGTCTGCGCCCACAGCAGGACCGGGGGAGGTCTCAGAAGTCAGGAACCCTTCAAAGGCGAATGAGAACCCACCAAGAGGGGCCGCGTCAGGGAGGACAGGCTCACGGGTGGACGTGGGGAGGCGCCACCTTACACCTCGAAAGTAAGCATGCTAAACCTGGGACAGGGCGGGACAGAGACACGGAGACAAGAGAGTCTGGGCGGGCCCACCAGCTCCAGCCCCTCGCAGAGCTGGAGACCCTCTGGAGCAGCCTTCCTAGTCCCATGGAGCCCCAACCATGCCCGGCCCTGGACCCCTTCCCTCACACCCCGGAGGCCCCCCAACATGACCTCAAAACATGCACATGACATAATAAAACGCACGCTTCCTGAGCACCCAGTACCGGAGGCTGGTTGTAAGTTACCGACGGCAGCCCCGTGGAATACGGCGCAACCGTGAGGGCTGACGATGGGGGACACTGGCCACCGGGGAGGGTGCAGGGAGCACTGTGCTGGGAGCACCGGAAGGAAAGCCCTGTCTGCTCATGGGCAGGGCAGACAGACGTCCCCTCCGTCTACTCCTACCAGTGCTGCTCGTACAATAAATAATGTCCCTGCTTCTTTTAGGACCATGTTCCAATAAATGAGGACTGCAGGGCGAGCCTTGAGCCCCGACTCCCGGCCAGAGAAGCGCCATCACACCAGGAAGAATGAAGAGGCCGCTCCGGGCTCGCTGATGCCCAGGGCGGGGAGGGTAAGGCTGGGTCCTGGACAAGAGCCAACCCCGGGATCCCAAGGCCAAGTGCACCAGGGTCAGCCACCTGGGCCCCCCGCCGGGGGCAGGGAAGGGGGAGCTGGGACAGGAGGCATGGTCCCTGTCCTTGCCCGAGCTGTCCTGGCCCCAGGAACCCTGGGAGAGAAAATCACCGGGGTCGGGAGTTGGGGGTTGGTGGCTCTTTAAAGGCTTGGTCTGGCAGAGAGGGTTGGAGACCCCTGGAGGGGACACGGCATGCCCAAAGGTGCAAGGCCAGGGCCGAGGGCAGGGGTACAGCATGCAAGGGCAGGGAGAGTGGGCCAGGAGAGAGCGCAGGTGAGGCAGAGAAAGCAGGAGCCATGGGGGTGCTCCAGATGCTTCCCCAGCATGGTCACTTTGCAGCCCAGGGAGGAGGGCTTGTGAGTGGGGGAGGGTGGACAGAGGAGGGCCAGGCCAGGGCAGTGGGGACCGACTTCAGACCTGAGTCCACACCTAGCCTCTGTACTCACTTCCAGGCTGGTGGCAGGCCACAGGCCCAGGCGTCCCACCAAGTGGAGGGGACAGCCCTGAGCTGGGCCCAACCCCAGGACTAGGCGGGGCCCATGTCCCCCAGACGGCCAGCAGTAAGCTCTGTGCGACCAGGGCCTCCCAGCCAGGAGCCATTCAAAATGGGTGTACTCAGCTCAGAACAGCCTGTTGTCCCCAGTTTATAGGTGGGAACACTGAGGCTCAGAGCAGTCCCGCAACTCCACATTCCAAACAGCACGGTGGGAGGGCAGCCCCTGGGCGGGCACCTGTGTCCAGGCTCTGTCCCGCCGCAGCCCAGGTCTCATGCTCAGATCCCTCACCGTGTCCACAGGTGAGTGACAGAGGCCCACTGTGTGACACAAGCCAGGCACTGACCCCGGACAGCCCTGGCTCAGGGCCCGGCCTCCTCCCCGGCGCCCGGGTGCAGAGGAGCCCTGGGGGCCCCGTGCTCCGGGATCCAGCGAGGTTTTGTGCGGGCAGCTTGGACAGGAAGACGGCCCTCGGTGGATAGCCACAGTTACTGATATGATCATCATTATTGTTACAGATACCGTCGGGGTTGGGGGGGCACGGTCCTGGGCGGCCATGAACACCGCCATCCATTGTGATGGCCCCGATGGCTCTGTTCCAGCCCCCACCACCCGGAGCAGCCCCGCAGTCAGGCTGCCAGGCTGGGGCAGCAGGTGGGGCAGGTCCACGGGGGTCTCCACGCCCCCCATCGGGTCCCCCACAGTGCGTCCCTCTGCATAAACCCAGAGGAGGCACCGTGTCTCCTGCCCCCTGGGGGCTCACTTCTGCTCACTTCCCTCTGCCTCCCACCCCTGCCCCAGGAGGGCGACAGGAGGGGCCCCCCCTCCATCCTGAGGCGGAGCGGGCCGGGGTGCAGCAGCCACGGGGCCGAGCCACAGAGGACCTCGAGGCGTGTGCGGTTCCGGGAACCCCTGGAGGTGACCGTCCACTGTAAGAACGGAGCTCAGCAAGCAGGCGCAGGGCCAGGTGGGGCGGGGGGCCACATGTCCCAGGAACTCACAGAGGGCCATCTGGAGGGACCACAGCCACCTGTCCTGTCTGCACAGACAGAACCCCAATAAAACCCAGCCCATGGCTCAGGCTAGACAGAGTAACAGTCAACAAAACAGCCACTAGCAGGAAAAAAGCAGATCAGAGCTGCCCAAATTGCAACTGTCCTCTCGAGGGAAGGCCAGTGGGCAGTGTCCCCAGCGCCCACCCACCCTTCCCGCCAGCACTGGAAGCTTCCCGCTGCCCCTCAGCTCTCCCAACACCTGCGTCCCTCACTGCCCACTTCCCGAATTCTCCCAGCCCCAGCCGAGGTCCTGGGGTCCTCCTGCCCCAGAGCCCCTCCCCGCCACCTGCCCTCTCCTCCCCTGGCCCCTTCACTCCCTGCCCATGGGACTGGCCCCTGTATCAGCTAGCTATGCCATGTAACAAATTACCACAGACTTGGAAGCTTCGAGCAGCCCACGTTTATTATTGCGGTGACCCCGTGGGTCAGGGGTCTAGGCACGGCCTAGCTGGTCCTCTGCTCAGGTCTCCCAGGGCAGCTATCCAGGTGTGGGCCGGGGCGGCCTCTCAGCTGAGGCCTGGGGCCCTATTCCAAGCTCACAGAGCTGTTGCAGACTTTGTTTCCTTGCAGCTGTAGAACCCACAGCAGAGCACCTCCAAGACCAGGAGCAGACCCTCCCTCTTTTTTAAACAGCTTGCCTGATGAGGCCAGGCCCACCCAAGATAATCTCCCTTTTGATGGACTCAGAGTCAGCTGATTGGGGTTTGCCGCTCAGTTGCAGAATCCCTCCCGCGTTACCTTCTTCTGTTGGGTAGAAGTCACAGCCCCACACTAAGGGGAGGGGATGACACTAGAGGGGTAGGAATCACGGGGGCATCTTAGATCCTGCCCACCACAGCCCCCGGGCAAGGTACTTCCTGAGACCTGCTGAGTGATGGGTAAAACTCCCACCCAGCACGTGTTAGCTCCTCCCTGGATGGCCCGCCCTAAACGTCCAGTCCAGGCCTCAACCCCTCTCCCGAGGCCCATACCGCTCGCTAGGCTCCTCACATCTGCTCTTCGCACCCGTCCCTTCCGGGTCCAGCGCCCGCCCACAGCACAGCTCTGCACTCCCCCAGGAGCTTCCCAGCCGCCCTGGGGACAGACACTCAGCGGGCCGGGAATCAAGGCCCAGGCAGTCCAGGGGGTGGCCTGGGGCCCCCCAGGGCACTGTGGGGATGGGCAGGAGAGAGGGTCCTGCCCGGCCCTCTCCCAGTGCCAGCCCCTAGGGCCCTGCCCAGGGACCCCCAGCAGGCCCCTCCCCCAAGCCACCACAGGGTCACCACATCCACACTCCCACAGGCTCTGAGAGCAGCACCCAGCTTCTTGGGCTCCCCAAGTTCTGGCAGCCTGAGCCTGAAGCCGTGAGGCAGGGGGGACCCCTAGGTGGTGCTGGGGCCACTGGCTGGCCAGGGGGGCGTGGATCTCCTACTTGTGAAACGGGGTAGCTGCATCTGACTCGCCCGTCTCAGGGTGCTTTGCGGGGTGGGCGTGAGATGCGAGGTCCTGAGGGCACGGGGCAGGCTGAGGCAGCGTGAGCCCCCAGGCAGGGGGCCCTCCCTGCCCAAGCCCACCCTCGGTTCTCCTTCCCAGACATCGCCCGCAGGGAGCCCACCACCACCACCACCACCAGGGGTGAGTCTGACCCCTCGCCCCCACCCCCACGTGCCGTGCCCAGGCCACCCCTGCCGCACACCCCCACCCCCGGTGGCTCCAGCAGGGCCCCCCCGCGCCCCGGCAAGGCCACTCCCTCAGCCTGGGTGCCTGACACACAGCATGGCCAGCAGCTCCCCTCTGCGGTCACTCCCCCTTACTCCTTCCCCAGGGGAGGGTGCCGGGCACAGCCGATGGGAGGCCCTTTCACAAGGAAGCCACCCAACACTGGCAGAGGCCCCAGGCAGGGAGGGGGGTGCCCCACGCCCCATGGGGACCATGGGGGGCACCCCAAGGACCCACTCCGAAGGAGCCCACCCTCGGGGTGAGCCTCCCTCTGTCTGCGGCCTCCCCACCAGCCCCGCAGGGAGGAGGGAGCCCCACAGGGTCCTCATGGTGGGGCTGGGCCTGCGGGCAGGGGTTCATCCGGTCCCGCTCCGCCCCCAGCGCCCAGCTGGCCCAGGCCCCGAGGCAGCTCCCTGCTCCTGCAGCTGTCCGTGTGCGTCCTGCTGCTGCTGGTGCTGGGCCTGGTCTACGGCCGAGCCAAGCCCGTGGCGCTGGCCCTTGAGGACCTCCGGGCCCGGCTCCTGGTGCTCGCCCTGCGCCTGAGGCATACGGCCCTCACCTGCTGGCGGGGCCTCCTGCAGCGCTGATGGAGGCTGGCCAGACGCTCCCCTCCACACCTGAGGCCCCGGCTGGCCGTGCAGGGCAGGAGCGGGGGAGCCCCAGGTCAGGTGGGAGGGCTTCCAGCCGAGCCCGCCCCCTGCAACAGGGCCCCTCTTGCTGCACATGTTAGGGTCCACCGTGAGGTTTTATTAGAAAGAGAATTCCACACAGGCTTCAGCCCTGAGAGCCCCCCAGGCCCTCCCTCGCCCCGGTGGGAACTCTCCGTACCCTTGGGCCAGGCCTGGATGTGGCCACGCGGAGCCCCCTGAAGACAGGGACACCGGCCCTGTGTCCATGGGGCCCCTCGGAGGTGAAACTGGCCTTTGCTACTTCGGGCTTGCAGGGCCTGGACTTTGAAACCCCGTTGAGACAGGCGGGTCTGGCTGTCGGGGTGGGGTCCTCCCTCCTGAAACTGCACACGGGGTGGGGGGCCTGGCATCTCCCCTTGTTTGTGGTGTTGGGATGCCAACCTCTGAGCCCAGGTCTGACTGCTCCCCGGGGCTCCAAGGCCTCAGGGACCCTCTCGTGCCCCGGGGGGACATACGTGCTGCCCCCCTCCTCAGCTGTCCACCTGGGAATGGCTGAGAGGGAGCTCGCTCCGCCCGGACCCCAACACCTTCAGAACACAGCCGCCCGTGCCGGGACCCCAGGCTGCGCCGTGCACCAGCCACAGGGCCTGCGTGTCCCATGACTGTGTGCAGACAGCGAGCCGCCGCGGGCGTTGCGAGGCCATGGGGAGACGTGGCAACAAACTCCAGGGCCCCCCCAGACCCTGCATGGAGGGGGATGCCTGAACAAAGCAGGGAGGCCCATGGGCAGATGCCAGGAGGGACTGCCAGGAAGACGCCATCTCCCCCAGCCACCTTCAGACAAGTGTCCACGGGACGGCCAGTGCTGTGCTGTCCCAAGGTTATGCCCTGAGTGCCCATCCCCACTGCCTAAGCGGGGACACACTGAGTTTCTATTAAACCACACTGCCACCCCTTTTATTAGTCTGGGGATTTTTACCCAAAGGAGGGATATGGGGACCAATTTCCTCGGCTAAAGCAGAGGTGGGGGCACAGGGGAGCCTTCCCTTCTAGGCCTCAGGGGCTAGGGTGGTGCTTTCCAGGATTTGGGTTTGGGGAGCCCAGAGCGGGGAGCCCAGTGGAGAGGAGGGGCCTGTCTCTGGGAGCGATAGCCTCCAGGGGGTCCCGGCGGGGACCCCATCTCATCTCACCCCCACCCCCGAAGAAGACAGGCAGGTTACTGCCCCATACTCCAGGCGGGGAAACTGAGGCTCGGAGAGGTTGGGTCTCATGCCCAAACCCGTGGGGCAGGCACAGTCCTCGGGCTCAGCCCAGTCCAGTCCCGGTCCCGTCTGGGGGAACCCCTGCCACCAGGGCTCTCAGCCAAGGGCCGGCCGGTCTCTGCAAAGACACCCGGCTCTGGAGGGTCCGCAGACCATGAGCCATGGCTTCGGGGAAGACGCTGCTCGGCAGGTGCGCCACGACCCGGAGACGTCAGTCCTCACACCTGGGGGTGCCGTGGCGAGAACGGAGCCCCCCGGAACAGGCGCGCACGAGGGGGCACAGCCACGGGAAGGCCCAGCCCTAATCCCAGCCAGTTTCTGAAGCTACAGGGATGAACACGGGCAGGTTCCTAAATCTTAGCCGCAGACGAAACCCAGGAGCCAGGAAGCCGAAGGCAGAGGAGGGCAGGGCAGGGACAGGCGGCCCAGCAACCACACCCAAGGCTCAGGACCTCTGTGTTTATTTTGACTTTGAGAAATAGATACACTTAAGTGGAAGAATCATCACTTTCAATTTCGTCAGAAGTAGAATGAAAACAAAGATGCATTATCCAACAGCAGCTGGGAGAAGCAAGGCACCAGGCAGAAGAGATCCTGTGGTCCCGTCTCAGGAAGCCTGGGGCCGGCCCCTGCCCTTCCAGTCCGCCCCGGGGCGCCCCCGCTCCCCGCCCCCTGCAGGGCACACAGCGCGGTCCCACTACCCTCTCCGGGAAGCCCCCGGGCACAGACGTCTGGAGGTACCCCCGGTCTGAGGCAGGTCCGTGCCAGGGACGAGCCCCGCTCTGCAGGTGACCCTGAGGTGCGTGTGGACGCACATCTCTGCCAGCCTGAGCGAGGGGCGCCCCACACCGGCTCCCAGTAACCCACGAGGGGCAGCTGCGAAGGGCACACCCAAGCCTGCCGTGGACCCTCAGGCTCCAGAGTCCACGGCCTGACCCTGCTCGTCCTTCCCGGGGCCTGGCTGGTTGCTGCCAACAGACCGGAACTCTCCGGGGCCGGAGAGGGTCCCCACAGCCTGTGCGCGAGTGCCCGGTGAGGGCAGATCTGCTGGGCGCCTCAGTTCTGCCAACACAACTCCCCCAGGGACCGGCCAGCCGCGCTGCCTGGCGTTCTCGGCCAGGCCCTGGGGCCAGAGCGCCTCTGCAATGCCGGGGCCCTCATCCACCTGGCCCCGATCTCCCCCACTGACAGGCGCCCCTGAGCAGGATCTGTACAGGTGACCTGCGGGCCCCCCTCCCTGGCCCAGGCTCCCTGCCCTACTCGGCACCTCGATCCAGACCCAGATCCACGGCCTCTGGAGACCCTGTGCCCCCCACGTGGGAGACCAAACCGGCCTCTGGCAGCACAAGGCATGGACATGGGGAGCCGGGTCTCTCCTTCCCTGGAGGGTCAGCCCAGGAAACGGGAATGGCTCACTGAGCCCAGGGGAAGGGGCGCCCCACTCCTGGGCAGGATTCGGGGGACTGTGTGCTGTTGCAGAAGCCGGGGAGCCCTGTGAGGAGGGGCATCCACAGCCAAGCAGCCCCAGGTTGCTCATCACTGAGCTCTAGGGTCCCATTTCCACCCCCAACTCCTCTTCCTGCCTCCGTGTGGATGGGGTCGTGTCCTCGGGGACCTCGGTGCTTTGGACGCCATCAGATGGGAAGGCAGCCCCTCCACTGAGGTGCCAGGGGTGCTGGGGACGTCCCAGTGGGTGAAGGTACCAAGGAGCTGCTCTGTCCTCCCCCGCTCTGATCTCTGCTCACACCTTCCAGTGCACACTCACACACACAGATGCACGCTCACACGCACTTACCCACATTCTCGTGCACATGCATGTTCACACTCACACTTGTGCACACGCATGTTCACACTCACACTTGTGCACACGTGTGCTCACACACAGCTCGCTCACACACCTTCCCCATGCAGACTTCCACGTGTGTGCACACACTCATGTTCACACCCACACTTGTGCACACGCATGCTCAAGGAGCTGCTGTGTCCTCCCCCGCTCTGATCTCTGCTCACACCTTCCAGTGCACACTCACACACACATGCA